CATATCCAGATCGTCAACGGGGAACAGTGTCAATATACCAGAAATCTGGTACTTCAAACGTCAATACGCCTGCTAAATATATGAAAAAGGGTTGTGTCCATCAATGGACTGTTGTGAACCGATAAAGAACTCGAAAATTTGTTTTTTTTTTGTTGTTCGAATCCTGTGTGCTCTTATACCATTTGTCAGATTACGATTATATTTACTAATTTTCTCAAGTTATTGTGCGCTCGCCCGGGAATGGTACTAACAATAATATACACTTAGCTTATAAAAAATAATAGTTCAGCTCAAAGAGGTTTTATTTACCTATTTTTAAAACCTTGTCCAAGGTCTTAGACGTCCACCTTCATCATCCACCCACTGACTCGTAGTCACAAGTGAGCCTCTACAAGGCGTTTACGATACTTCCTTGTTAATTGAATCAAATGTAATAAAGTGATATAAAACGTAATTCATTGTTTATTTATTTACTCAAAATTAATTTGCATAGAATTTATTACAATCAAACGTGGGAGAGATGGCCGTCATTTTACGTTACGTTGCGTTTAGGTTAGTAACACAGCTGTTTATTATACACTTGTTCACAGCTATTTTACGTATCACGTAAAATATGATAAGTAATAATGTGACACTGAAGCATATTATTATTGCTGCTTGAACAGATCAGCTCAATCGCGGCAGAACGACGCCCGCAAAAAATACCTGCGTGAAATAGAAAAATGATAATGTCCGCCAGACCGAAATTCAATCACATAGGTTCTCAGAGCGTTATGCACGAAGTATCGGTGCGCGCTCTATTTTCTCACTATGACTATCACGATTGGAGAGACGTACTTTATGAAGAACGGGGGTGAACACATCTAACTTGAAGGAGAAAAGTCCGACAATAACTGATTTTTGTCCAAACTCGGTATTTCAACGCCGGAACTTATGAAAAATATTTGCACTAGACAAACGTAGAGAAATAGAAGAAAATACTGTTGTGAGTGACCAGAACAGTATTTTATTTCAGGGGTGACAAGACCTCTGAATCTATTATTTAAACGGTAACGATATTTAAACGCAGAGAAAATGCTCGGAGTTTCTCTGCGTGATAGACTCAGAAATGAGGATATCCGCAGTAAAACCAGAGTGACCGACATAGCCCAACGGATTAGTAAGCTGAAATGGCAATGGGCCGGCCGTATAGCTCGAAGAACTGATAACCGATGGGGAAGAAAGGTTCTCGAGTGGCAACCTCGTACCGGTAGGCGTAGTGTAGGGCGACCTCCCACTAGATGGATTGACGACCTGGTAATTTTGATGGGAGACATGCAGGAAGACATGGATGCTTCAGGATCGTGCTTTGTGGCATTGCTTGGGGGAGGCCTATGTTCAGCAGTGGACTTGTGAAGGACTGTAATAAATAATGATGAATGATATTTAAACGGTGAATCTCACTACCATCCTTCTCAGTTAGCTACCGTGGGCAGATCTTTGTTACAGAGAGTACGATGGATCTGTACAGCAAACACCTGGCCGCCGAGCTTTAGCACGCCAAGAAAGTTCTGCACGACAACAAGCTTCGGGTCCCGCGCCTACGTCACAGTGACCGAGTGAAGCCGGCCACAGTCGAGCGTGTGCCTGCTGTACAACCATATGTCAGAGGTGTCACAGACAAGATTGGCTATATCTTGAAGCGAGCTTCTATTAGAACATTCTACAAGCCGCCGAAGAATATTAGTCAGTTCTTAACATCCGTCAAGTGTCATATTACTCTACAAGATGCAGGAGTGTACAAGCTTGATTGTGTGTGTGGTCTCTCTTATATAGGGCGAACCCGCGTAAAAGAACGTATTTCTGACGTGAAGCATCAAAGTTCCGGGAATTCTGCAGTTTGTGATCATATCCTAGATGGTCCCAAACATTACATCAGATTTGATAGACCACAAATCCTCGCGAAAGAACACCGATTCCTACCAAGGATGATACGTGAGGCTATTGAAATTAAAAACATCCTAATTTCAATAGAGAAGGAAGCTGGGTACTACATCCTGCTTGGTACACTATAATAAATAAAATTAAAACTAAACCCAGGCATACCACTGCAAGACTTTAAGACACAGTCAGTTCATTTTGCATGGATCGGACTATAAACAATAATTAAAAAGCTGAAGGTACTCCGGGTTTAACAATGATATCGGGACGTCAGTCATCTTAGTCCTCCGTGACCATGGGTGCTAGAAACACCGAAACGTTGAGAATTAAAAATTATTAAAATTTACGTGATAAAATCCGTAAAAGTAGTTTTAGTCAATTTGTAGTGTTCGCGTAAATATAAGAAATCATTAATTACTAGATAAACTTAAATATGATTTTCAAAGACCTAATTAATTATTGATACCCCACTTGACAAAGTTAGCCAGCTTTTATTATTTTCTTTCGAGTAAACGCAAAAACAAAAAAATCGACAGGAATCATTAATACATGAAATAAACATCGATATAGAGACACTGGAAGATCTATCTTCTTAATGTGTATTATAACATAGAGTATTCGATAAACGGATAGCGATTTACGAACTTTTGTAGTTCCCCATTGTCATTAATGCTTAATAATAGAAGACATAAAATTTATTGCCCTTCTGTTACGGCTTGTTGGGTTTTCTAATAGGGACCTCTCCCTCTTTACTTGTACCTAAATGTCAAAGGCTCTTTGAAGGAAGTTTTTGTGCAACATAAGCAAATATGGAATCACCTCGGTGTCTGCCTGTTTATCTGTCACAAAAATTTCTCAATATATACAATATAATTCTTAATGTTTTAGGTAGAGGTTTGAAAGTGAACTAAAAGTATTGGAAGGATAGAGGGAGAGGATTAATTGAGGATTTAATAAATCTAACTTTCCTTAGTAAGAGGATGGGGTTAATAAGGGTAGTTAGATTAATTGTTGTCGGATTGTTGACATTATCGCAAAGGGTATCAATTTAAAGCATTTTATACGTGGTAACGTTAACGTTTAACTTTTATACGTGGTAGAGCCACGCTGCAGCTATATAACGGTTGTAGCTAGCTAGATTGTAATCGGTTATTACTGCTGTATTTCGTATGTTGAGTGTAGATCCGGAGACCCTTTTTTACTGGAAACGAGGAATTCCGTCTTAGTCCTCAGGGGTGACAACGCATCTGCGTTTTCATTCTTAATCGAAAATAAATGTAGATTTCTATGGGCCACAGCATCCACTTACCATCATGTGGACTGTGTACTCGTTTTCACCACTATTCCATAAAAAACATCCAACATACTTCCCACAGCTGGGCACATGCCTCTTCTTATGCAGTGTAGTCTCAGTAGTCTACCATTCAGTTTCAGTTCGTATTCTGCAGATTTCACATCGTCTTCAAAATATGTTATTCCATAGACATATAGCTTTCCTCCCAATATTTTCCTGAACCACCAAGGACGTGTTAAATCAATACTTAAAACGTATCCAAATCCTCACAAAAGAACACCTATTTCTACCAAAGATAATTCTCGACTGTATTCAAATCATATATGTGGTAAATGTAAAAATTTTGTACAACCAACTTCAATGTAAATAAAATGAGAACATCATCAGTGTATTCTCAGTAAGTTAAATACGCATTATTATGGATAACTCAAAAACTACTGGCCAGATCTTGGTCAAATTTATATAGGAAAAAAGAATCATCAAAATCGGTGCACCCAGATGAAAGCTTTGAAGTAGCACACGTAAAAAAACATACAGTCAAATTTAATACCTCCACCTTTTTGGAGTCGGTAAAAACATCGTCATTTCAAAAGAGAAGATGGTAGCCATGTCCAGACACTATAATTAAAGACTTTAGGATACTGTATTTTATTTCTGCGTAGATTGTATCAAAAATTAATATTTTAAGCAAAAGTTTGCCAGAGACTTGACTATGACATTGGGACGTAAGAATTTAAAGCCGATGGTAGCCAAAGTCAACATATTGTATCTTTTGTGACATGGTGTGAAGTACTTGAATCGTCGGGGACATAAAAATAAATTAAATAAACGCGATAAAATCCTTATTTTTTTTATCTAATAAGAAATTCATTATAAACTATTTTGCGATATGATACTATAAATAAAATGCAACTATTCTACAATTTTATTTCCGAGACCATACCCTTATCCGTCCGATTCAGCTACAAGGATGGTATTCGTTGCACACTACAATTGCCATAATAGATTAGCTGCGCATCGCTACTTCAGTAGCACACGGCCTTGTCACGTCTGCGTGGGCCGTCAACCAGTTTGGCCCGTGCCCCATATCGGGAGACGTTTTACTTATATCGTACGCATTGAATAAATAGGTAACGAGGATGCCGATATGGTGACACACATACTAGTTAAGCGTTCGAAACTTGAAAATCGTTGCATTTTGTAAACTTGTTGCAGTTCAGGAAAATTAAATATAACTATTTTAAAAATAGAACATTATTTGCGTTCCTTTTTAAAATATTTTAATATTACATTGTAAATACTGCAATGTATTTAAATAGACGTCCTCTATTTTAGACCCAAAAATTGTTCTTGTCCTCTAATTTGAAATCTTTAAAAGAGGACAAGTCAATATTTCGCGTATTCGACATACCCTCTGCTAGTTAGATTTATGAGTTAAAAAATTACTATGAGGTGACGCGAGATGTAACAGAGACAAACTCCTATAATGCGTATTAATAATTTCCAATTCTGCAAAAAATGCACAATAGTTATACAATAGAAATGTTCGTTGTGTTTTTTTTTATTAAAAAATGTTGCTACTGATACCATAACAGCATTTTATTATAAAATATGATAACTTTTATTTTCATTCTATGTTCTTCATTTATTTTAACATAAAACGGGAGCTGGCAACCCTAGTTGTCAGCGTTCTTTAAAAAAAAAAAAACAATTATATTATAAATACAACAGTGTTTTGGTGGGAAATAAAAAAAAATGTATAAATTACTTCATAACTTTGTTTCAGATACTTATATACAACGCGTTTGTCGCCGAACAAGGCGAAATATTTCTTCCCGTGCTTCGATAATCCACGTTTCGAAGCCGTATTCAAGTTCAAGGTGTACGTGCCTCCGCCTCGTGTCGACATTCAGAACACGAACACAAGCTTGATCATTGCACAGGAACAGCGACGTTATGTGTGAGTGCTCAGTTTTGATAAGTCATATGGTAAAGTTACAGCCTATGTGCGCCCCACACCTGGCCACAAGCCTATTCTTATTTCTGAGAATGTTATAGGACAAGGAGATGTCTTTATAATTATTTTTTAATTTCTTAGACATACAGGTATCCACACAATTAAAATGAAATCACAGCAAAATATTTGCAATCCTCGCTAGTCGTAATATTCTTATATCGGTATAACATTGGTATTTAAGGCTCAATGGAATAGGTTTTTAGTGAAACGTCCCCTGAAGTATATAGGTAAAGTTCCTCACAACCTATAATGATACTGACTTTCTGATTCTTTAAACCGGATTTCATGATTGGGTCGATTGCGGCCTGGTGACAGAAATATAAGCAATAAGCCAACTCGGTTGAACGTACAGGGAGAAGAAAAGTTCTATCATCTATATCATCATCATCATTATCATTGCAACACTCCACGATTCCACTGCTAAAAGATTGAATTTAACAAGATACGATTCAGAGCTACCTGGATCTATCCACCCCTTCCATCTATTACCTGATTGTCACTCTATCTATAGGCAGCACACAGCCCTACACTTCATATCTCGAGAACTTTTCTTCCACATCGGTTATAGTCTATATCATCTACAGATAAAAATTATTATGTTTCTGGGTATTACACTTGTCGGTCGAAATCAAATCTGCTAAATTTAATGCCCAATTTAATAGAAATATAACTTATGTACATATAATCTATATAAGGTACGTGATGGTAATGTGGTCACCCGAAGATTTGCCGCCCTATAAAACCAAAACTAGGAGTTGCACAGAGACCAAAACACAAAATCGGGTATTATAACTAACATATTAAGAAAAAAATAGCAAACAAGCTTTGGTAATAATTACGAATATTTCGAAAAATCTACTTAAAAAACTATTCTCATTACATTATACTAAAGTCGCCTAAATTATTTACTTTAGTGTCAACTGTCAAAATGGCGTCGATAAAGCAGCGCCCTTTTGACACTTTATTATTTGATTGACCGAAGAAGAGCTATCGTATCACAAAGTGATCTACGCAAACAAGGCTGTAGTTTTTGAGATATAAAGAAGTGGCCATATTAACCGGATGACCATATTAACCTCACGTACTATGTATTAGCGAAATACAACTGACTGACTGACTCATCACGAGATATCTAAAACTATACAACCGATTGACATTTAATTTAGTATAGTTCTCGTTTTGCAATGTAGACGCTCACTAAGAAAGGATTTTACGATAGTCAGATAAAAAAAAATAGGTTCCATAATCAAAAATTATCGTGTGCCCAGCGAAGTGAGCGGATATCAGCTAGTATTGTAATAAAATTATATCATGTACAACGATAACACGTCGGTGTTTTTATATAAAGATTAAACTTTTATTAAAAAAATAAAAACTGAATTTAATGAACTTGGAACATGAATGGAACTTAAAAAGTTAAATAATTTCAACATTATGTTACACTTTTGAAATCGGTGCTTATGTGAATAGAAAAAATGAAGCCCGACATCAGTGTGCAGCAAATTTTTTTTCATTCTTTGAATTTGGCTCTAACTTATTAAAGCTTAATTGCAACTTCTAATTGTAATTAAAACTTTAATGATGCTTGTAAGAATTGAAATTGTGTATTTTAAGACTACACCAGACAGCCGTAAAATGTGTAAATATGTTAATAATTTAGAATTTAGACTATTATTTCGATCATAAGTTTATTTATATGTTGAATAAAACTATTATTTACGGATTTTATCGCGATAATATCCGATCCGTAAATAATAGTTTTATTTATATGATTTTTTTTGCAATTTTCCCAATTAAAACAGCAGTTTCGTAAAAAGACATGATAAAAATTATTTTATTATGAGGTTCGACATGGTATTGACCCTTACCATCATTTAAGCCATCAATCATCATTCCAAAATGCGTGGCAATAAAGTTAACTAATCCGTAACAAGAGAAACTATTAAGGCAATCGATTCCGTGGTCCGGATGCCGCTTCCATATAAGTTATTCTCTAAGCGAGTTTACAAATTAGTTAGTGTATTTTGTTGCTTATATAGTTTGTCTGGGGATTGGAGATATCTTCCTAAGCAGTCGCAAAGAAACTGCAATAATTGACATCATTCCCAGTCTCCGCACTCAATAGCTTACGATATAAGGTCTAATAGACTTGTTAATGGTTTGGCTTTCCTGTTGGCGACAGCAACGGAATAATATTAATTAGGATATTAAAGAATTTTTAGAAACAAATAAAGAAGCTTCACTAATTTCTCAATCTATTCGTAATCATTTTTTTATAGAAGTAAAAGTAAAGAAGAACACATAGCCCATCTGATGATGAGTGGATACTGTGGCCCAGTCGGCAACTACGTCTATCATAGATTAAAATCAAAATGAAGAATGTATCTCATTCTTCATTTTGATTATAATTTACAAGTACAAATAAATATTTAATAAATAATTCACGTGGTAGACCCACGCTGCAGCTATAGGGTCCGCTTGACCGGGACAGGACCACGCTTTCACAGATTATATGCGTAAAATAGCAGCTTAATGCTGCTATAGTAAATGTAGAGGACACTGGGAACGAGGTATTTTGTCTTAGCCTCTGCATTTTGATTTTTAATCGTAGGTAAATGTAAGAATAAAAAATGTAAGATGTATATAGGCCACATCATCCACTTATCATCAGGTAGAACATGTGCTCGTTAGTCACCCTGATTCTATATAAAAAATGTTTTTATATTGTATCGTATGCTATAGGCTAAACATTGATTATAATAGTAATCGGAAGTTAACGCCGTAAATATTTGATGAGTTATTTTAATTAGAAATCGTTATTTCATATGTAACGAAATATTTTGTCACTCCTAACCGTCTCCGGTTCCTATTATACGAGTATGTACTGCTTTTAACGCTATTATACTGTGCAAGCGTCATAATGTACATTGCAAAGTGCCGTATAATTTATTTATTTATTTATTTGTAAGAATAAGGTAATACATAATGGTCTTAAATCTAATACAGAAGTTCACTTATTCTGCCTCTTTTATAGGCGTAAAAATATTAAATCGTCTTAATTTAATTTCGACATAAAATTTTAATACAAAACTATAAAAAATTAATTATGGATAAATGTTATACAAATTGTCATAAATATGTCAAAGAAAAAATCAGTAATAATACACGTCATCGTCAAATTGCTATATATGTCACCTATATTTACTATTATAATTATATTAATTAAATAATAATTTTACAAACAAAATTAGTTATTGAAATATTCAGAAAGACTATAAAAACATTTGCTGAGAAGCCATTCTCTCAACTTTCGTTACGTTTGAGTTGTTTCATTGTTTATTGTGTCTGGCAGACGATTGTATACACGGATTGCCATGTAGAGAGCATTCCTGTTAAAGAATGAGGTGCCTGATTTAGGCAAGAATAATTTATTTTTGTTCCTAGTATGCCTCTGTGTTACATCAGACTGTTTTATAAATAAATTTAAATTTTGTCTTACAAACAAACAGATATCCCTCACATACATACACGGTAAGGGAAGAATGTTTAATTTCTTAAAATGGGATCTACAACTCTCACAGTACCCCAAATTGCATACAGCGCGAATACATTTTTTTTGTACTACAAATGCTTTCTGGCTATCGGTAGAGTTACCGCATAACAATAACCCGTAGCTTAGAACTGAGGAAACATAACCATGATATGCACATAGAGCTGCCTCTCGCGACACTGTTCTCCGTAATCGTCTTAGAGCATAAACAAATCGGTCTAATTTCTTACAAATTTTAAAAATGTGCTCCTTCCAATTGCATTGTTCATCAAGTGTGATACCCAAAAATACTGCAGATTGTACCATTTCTATCGATTTATTATGAAATTTAATGTTAATGTCTATTTTTTTGATTTGTATGTCGTAAATTGTATTATTTTTGTTTTGTCAAAATTAATATTAAGGTTATTTAATTCAAGCCATTTAACTACGTCACGAATAGAGTCATTGATTTGATTATTGAAATTATTTATGTCATTAGCCTTTATTATTAGGGTTGTACGAGTATCATCGGCGAAAAGAATGCATTTTTCTTTCGTAGCTTGAGGTAGGTCATTGATATAAATTAAAAATAAAAGTGGGCCTAAAATACTACCTTGTGGAACACCATATTTAATAATTTTATAATCTGATCTATATGATGATTTTTGTATTTGTTTGTTTTTGTCGTATAAGTGAAAATCCACTTAAAAATAATTGGAATCTCTTTTTTAAATGAATACATAGATTATTTACTATTAACAAACGCTAACAGTAAAATCGCAATTTTATGACAGCGCCCACGATAGATCAGGGAAAGCCAATAACTATTTTAAAATTTTAATTTGTTTCAAAGAAAATGATAAATATGTGCTAGTGAAAATATGTGTTATCTTGATTTCAAATATAAAACAGGTTGCACTAGCATGAACCAGTTTCAAGAAAAATGTTATGTATATATTAAAATGTAATAAAAATATAGGTTTTCCTTTAATATCTTAATTTCAGTTATCTAATTATGTGATTTTGAATCCTTTGGTATTTATTTTCATTTTTAGTAACTTGACTTGTTATTTGTTTGTGGAAAATTATCGCTTCAGAAATTCTAGAATTTTTTTCGTCGTTCTTCTTTACGGATATCGCTCAAAATTCCACTACTGAGAATGGACCTCGATAAAAATTGCCTCATAGCGGAGATATTTGCTATAGCTGGCACGCTTGCCAGGTGGATTGACTTCGACGTGGAATGGAGTGACAAACAAGTACACAGTTCACCTGATGCTAAGTAGATGCTTTGGTTAATAGAAATCTACATCTTTCCTTGGTCTGAGGACTAATATGGATTGCATAGATGCCAGTAAAGATGGTCTCCGGTTCTCTACGCACACTATATGAAAGATACCATCATTAAGCTGCTGTTTTACGCTATTCTGTGAGAGATCTATTGGTGCTTAAAATATTTACGTTGTAAATTAATGTCCAAATTTATTTTTTCATTTAGTACCGTCTTATTTTTCAGGGCTAACAACGACTATGTAGTAATTGAGTATGTTACTTCACCGCAAGTGGCGTTGTACCAAGTGGGCTTTCACCAGTCCAACTTCGAAAGCCGTTATGTGATGGCTAAAAATACCAACGATACCTTAATTGTGTGGGCACCCAAACCTTTGATGCAGAATTACAATTTCATACTTCAGTTTGGAGAGGCAATTATAAATTTGATACACGAGTATGCATCCATTAATCGACCTCTTGTGTACGGGCCAATTAATTTAGTAGCCGTACCATTACTACTAAATGGATATGAGATCGGTAGTTGGAACCTTTTAACTAATGGGTAAGCGATGTACCTTATTTAACGAAAGTTTCTTCATTAACTTCATGCATCATTGTGTTTAAAACATTTTTATCTCTTTCTTTATTCTAAACATTTTAAGGCGATGAGTGATGATGATGCCGTGTTTGAAATAAAGTAAGATTCCTTGAAATACTTGTAATGTACTGTTAAAATAAAACTTTCATATGTCAAGAAATTATGACGTCATATACAAAAAGTATTATATTCAACAAGTAAACTTAATATATGATAATAAAAATCTAATTTAAAAAAATTCCAAAAATTATCATGTTTTGCGACGATATACTAATATAGCAAATTCAAGTTAAATATATATTATAATTGATGTTATTAGCAACCCAAAATATAGAATTCCAGCCAGTTTGAAAATAAAACGAACATCAGCATCTTTAACATCTTAATGCTGATAAACAATGAACGTGATTTCAGATAACAAATTCCCAGGGAGAAAAGAACAAATGTCTTTTTTATAGAATAAGGGTGACTAGCGAGCAAACTGTTCACCTGATGGTAAGTGGATGCTGTGGCCCATAGACATATTTAACCTTGATTAAGAATCAAAATGTAGATGTGTTGTCACCCCTGAGGACTAAGATGGAATGCCTCCTTACCAGTAAAAAGGGTCTCGGGTTCTCGACATTCACCATACGAAACACATCAGCGTTAAGCTGCTATTTTACGCTGGTATTTTTCGAGAGCGTGGTCCTTCCCCGGTCTAGCCGACCCATTCGTGCTACAACCATAATAAAGCTGCAGTGTGGCTCTCCCACGTAAATGTCTACGTCATTATATTAAATAAATTATATAATATAATTGCTTTCTTTTTATATTGGCAAGGTTAATTGTAACAAGGCCAGCAAAAAATATAAACTCCAGCGTTTGTTTAAAAATTCTCTTTCGACTGTTTAACTTTTAAAACAACATATTTCAAAATAACACTTAAAATCAAGAAATACATTCTTCCTGAAATTTTGCATATGTTGCGTATCTTCTATTTCGATTTCATTACATTCTTTTTCCTTAATCAGATTTATCTCTAAGAAATATTCATTTATTGTCTGCAAGGTACATTTACGAGTAATAATTTTTAATATTCGCAGTCATTTTATTGTGAGCACTCAATTATTTATGCCTAATTATAATTTATATTTAAATTGATTTAAAATTTCCGTTTGCGTATTTACAAGGAACGCAATTGAATGACATGGTGTATGCATGGATGAGAGTAGCAGTCTCAAATTAAACATCATCGATGTCCAAATCTTAAGATACTTTATTTACAAATTACCTAACTGTTTATATTAACCTTAATGTGTGAGCGAAATAAAAACAGAACGAATATAAGTAAGTTTTTATAAATTTAACATTACGTTGCATTGTAAAATTTAACTTTTTTGGACTGGTCACTACATGCAACTCAGTAAATTGCGTTTCCATAATCAAGCAACGCTAACTATTTAACAATGAGCATTCGTTATGAATTCCTCCATTTATTTGGATATAGTATTTTTATGGAAAAATCATCACTCATATATTTTCTGCACATATTTAATAGGTATACAACTTTTGGATCGATATTATGTTTAAACTCCTCTTACTATAAATATATATGTGCGACAATTTTTGATGTTGACTTATTAATGACATAAATTTGATTATCTCGTTGGTCTAATGGTCGTTAGCGTGACTGCTGATTATGAGTTCCTCCTGGGTTCGATTCCCAGGTCAAGTCATATTTGTTATTGGGTTTCCTTTTCATGAAATTCTCAGGACCAGCCTAGATTCAGGAAGTTAACGTTAAGTTAACGTTAAGTGTTTCACGCCTGTGCCTCAAAAAGCACGTTATGTCGTTGGTGTTGTGCCTCATTCCTTCTCTGGCTATCTCGTATTGCCATCCCATCGGACTATGAGAGTGAGGGAATAGTTAGTGCACCTGATCTTTCGTACACACTTGTGTACTGTAATCTTGCGCGGATGGCCAGACTCCGTTGTAACAGGTCGTCGTGACCGAAATTTATCGGACGGACTTTAATAATAATATTTCTTAATATTTACAGCGATAATAGACTCGGATATGTACCACAGATTACCAGCATTAAACAAATGGAAAAGATGAAATTCGAATTAACGCAGCAGTTGTGCAGAATATGGTTGGGGAATCCTGGCGAGCCTGAGAGGACGAGGTGGAAAGAAGAATGGTTCAAAGAAGGTGTAGCTACATACTTAGCTTATTATTTTCTTGCTCAGGTAAAAATACTGAATAGAGACCATTTCTTAATAACAACATAAATATAAAATATCAATCACTATGTGTATTACATATATGATCTATAACCCCCAGTAAATAGAGTGGCGACCTGGTAAGATATGCAGGAAGTCAATTGATGCAGGTGGCTCGGGACCGTGCTTTGCTTACTTTTTGGCGTTCCATGAGGGCCTATGTTAGCAGTGGATTTGGGAAGGGCAGTAATGATGATGATCATGATGAATCTTAAATACTTTTGTGTATAAAACATAAGTTAAAACTTAATGATACCTCAAGAAAATGAGTAGTAAGAAGTTATATAAAAAGTTTTATAGTATAGTAAAATGATCAATAAAACCAGTATAAAGAGGGAAACAAATATATGAGGGTAGCAGCATATTTCTAATAGCAACACAGTAATACCTGCCCGTCAAGCGGTCCGACTATGACAGATATCCCCCATACTCGTATGGGCAATATATGAGACAGACCTTTGTTCAGCCGTGGACTTTTGTCACGCTGTAGTGAATGAATTCATGTAAACTATTTTCAGTATAATAACGGTAAAGTAACGGGTCACAGTATTTGGCCTATTGGAAAATATGGTGTCGACATGAAGCACAAGTCAATGTCGATAGATTGGCATCACAGTACTCCAGCGCTTTCAACGTTCAATAGAACATTAGCCATTGAGATTCCTTCAAGGTACAAGAATTTGGTGACAATGAAGACTGCTTCTATATTATGGATGGTTGAGAATTGGCTGGGAGCAGAGAAGTTTCAGAATGCTCTGGTCACATATATCAATTCGAGGTAAGCACTACAGGAATTTTAAATTACGCAGTAAAAAATTAATTTTAGGCCATTAACAAATTAACAACTTAACTTGAAGGAATGTTTTGATGCAATATGTCGTAGACTTTCCTTTCATTAATAACATGATGCATTTTATCTCTTCGTTTATAATCTACTTTATCGTAGTTATTTTCCACTTCTGTTTAGTACTGGCCTTTTCAAAACTGCACCGACTGCCATGCATGATTTGAAAGATTTGCGAATGGTGTGTAATGGGAAGCAGCTTCAATAGTGAGATATTCTATGCCTTTCTATAGAAGAAGCGTGGCATACCAAACACAATAGCATTAAGCTACTATTTAGTGCTGTCACTCTGTGAGATCGCAGTCCCACCCGGTCGAGCTGACATATTCGTGCTGCAACCAAAATGTAGTTAGAACGTGGCTCAACTACGTTAAAAATCTGTATGGAATGATTTTAGATGTTCTTAATTACTTGAAAGTTATGTTTTATTGATATTCATCGTGAGGAAACCTGCATGTCTGAGAAATAAGAAAAAAAAAATTTCGAAGACTTGTGAAGTCCGCCAACACGCATTGGGGTAGCGCGGTGGACACTTCCTTGCCCTAATACCCTCTCAGAAATGAGAGGAGGCCTGTGCCCAGCAGTGGGACGTATATAGGCTGTAACTTTACTTTTAACTTTTTTTTATGTTTTATTGTAAATTACTGACAGGCCCTGTCTTCTTCTAGGTAAGATTTATTAAGGATACGTTATTTTGATTTAAGGTAGCCAAAGACTATTTATTTAATTCATTTATTTTTTAATTGTTCTTTATCTATTCGTGAAGTATTATAACAATTGTATCAGCCATTTCGAAGATTAGCCTGGACTGACATAAAAAAAATTGATTTATGTCTCAAATAACTCCATATTCCAGCTCAATTTAAGGCAGTCATTTCGATATTATAGATCGATAATTTCAATGTGATTTATATATTCAATGACTGGATCAGCCACATCGCATTTTTTGTTCTATACGGTTTGAACCGACAGTAGTCTCTAATGGCAGGGCGCGGACCGCGAACTCAAAAAGGGTTCGAGTCCGCCATTCGACTACTGGCGTAAACCACTCCTAACACAAGCAATTTAAGCTTATCATGAGTTGTTAAGGGGAATATTAGTAACATTTATAGCATTTTTAATATTCTTTTCAATTAAAAATAAATACGGTATGGTAAATAATAATATCATTATTATATTTCATAAAATAAATCGTTTTGATATTTTTAATTATAAGATTTTATCCATTGCCGTAAATATTAAAGCTTCATATATTTTACAAATGTTTATGAAAGTTAAGTCAGAGTTGTTGCGTATACAACTGAACAATGTCAGGGTTGAACAGGAATAACTATTGGTCAGTTGTTCATTTGTAGGTCAAGACCGCGCGATAAGTAGGAACGTTAAATTTGCAATAAAATCTAAATCCGATCCAAACTTAATGTCTATAATTTATATTCTTATAAATGAAAACGTTGTTATAATATCCCTTCTTTTAATTATTTTATTATAATATATAAAAATTAATTTTTATTTTTTCGTAATTTATGGCTGCCATACTGTTCATCAGATTGCGGTGAAACTTTGTCAAAATATTGCTTGCACTTCCGCGATGGTTATAGGTGGACCCGGTAGGTAGCGCTGTTGCAGAATCCATATTACACCCGAGCGAAGCCGGGGCAGATCGCTAGTTAATATAATTTTACGTGAAGCGTGACCGCTTATCTTGTTTAAATCCCGGGTCGGGTCAAAATCATTTATTGGGATTCATTTGTGAAGAAATTTTTAGTAGTCTGGAGTCAGGAAATTTTGCTGTGTTTATCTTCATTGTATTTTTATTCGATGCGTCCATATTTTTGTTCAAAATTTTTGTAGATATGTGCTTACGCCAATGTAGAGTTGAAACACTTCTTTTCGGGTCATGTTAACCTATTAACATGACCCGAAAAGAAGTGTGACAAAAAGTCTATTGCAAGCTTTATGTTTGTTTTTGCTATACATTGAATATAACAATAGTTTCCTATAATAACAATGTTTAATATTTTGATTCAGGAGAGGGAAATATATATCTTTGGAGGACTTTATGATAAGCTTGGACCATGACACGGTTGAATGCCTTCATCAGTTTCTTAACGGTTCTACTGCGTCCAGGGTTTTAAGTTCTTGGTTCCATCAGTCTGGGTATCCAGTCATTGACGTGCAAGTCTTGAGAGACAGAAATCCTAATGCTATTCTTCTCAAACAGGTAAGTAAAGGTCTAGTTATAGGGTTAGCTATATACTTAATGTTATTTTGAATTTCCAGTGCAAATGTGTTAAGAAATGACTAAATAAATATTATACTTTATTATATTCTTTCTTCTTATATTTTTGTTAAAACATATTTTCGTAGCCAAATTTTAAAAGTTACTAATTTTTAAATTTCAGAAGCAGTTTAGTTTTACAAATCGCAAACGTATCGACTCAAACTACTTGATCCCTATCTCGTACATAGTCCAGAACAACCAGAACTGCTTCAACTGCTATCAGCCTCGTTTCACAATCGGAATGCAAACGTATTCTTTTGGAGAAAACCTTAACGATGGTTGGATAATACTTAACAGAAATGCTTCTGGTAATCTTTTGTTTGATATTTTCAATGCTATTTGAAAGACCATGTAGATGCAGAGAATATCTACTAACAAAATAATCGCGCTTGCCAACCCGTCTGCCAGGAGTGGCAACTATGGCAAATCCTATGGATCCTATGAGGCAATCTAAAGGGGAAGGCTATGTTCCGCAGTGGACGTTTATACGCTGTATTGGATGGATAGATGTAATGTTTACGAAGAACTAGTGTAAGAAAATCCATTATTCCAATTGGTCACTTAAAATCAGATTATAAATAGCCTTTAAAAGCTCTTGAATCTCAGTAAAACTGCAAAGTCCTGGCAAATTTATTGTAGCGCTTAATCTACCAGAATTAGTAGATGCGTGGCTAGTCTGCTTCATTTCATCAACCAATCCGTCCCAAAAGCTGACATTGGGTGTTTATTTTTGATAAGAATAAAATATTTTACATCGTCTGTAATATAAGCTATTAGTAAATAACTCTTCAGCTTTGCAGCAGTACGCACTTTGTATTCAAGTTGTAGCATCAATAAACTAGTAAAATTACGACCTGAGAAGTACTCTAACTTAAAATAACTTGCAACATAAGTCTCGCAATCTGAAAACATGCATTTTCTTCTTAGTCTGGAGTTGGTGGAAGATATACATAAAGTTCACATTAAATGCTCATTAATAGCAAAAAAGGATACTTTTTCGTTAATAATATTACTAAAATATATAATATAATGTAACGGTAATATGTACCAATATTGTATAACAAACAGACATCCCGTAGTTGGGTACCTCTTATTTCTGAGGAAATAGTATGTGGCCCTGCTCCTTTAGAAATTTACAGATTGTTGATTAGGTAACTATCTGATTAACTAAGGTAGTCAAAACTAGAATCCTATTTGCGTAAGAATCCGTGTAGATGGGTACAACCCTGTTCCTGTCTGTGTCGCTAAACAGTTATACCTGCTGTAAAATGTTCCTGTCTGAAGGGTACTGAGAGCTAGTAGCTTTCTATGTTTGAAGTTGGTTGAAGGTGTCCGTGGGCTGCAGTGTACCTTACCATCAGGTGGACTTACGCTTGTTTGTCATTCCAATTTCATAAAAGTTAAAATTAATATAAACATATTAATTACGCTGCGTATGGTGTTATTAGCCGTACACCTGTTATTGTGGCTTCGATATTCATGCAGTGCGGAGCGGCGCTAATAATAATTTTATATTAAATTATCACATATGCAAAATAAACGAAAATTGAAAAAAAATTACGCGATTAACAATACAATCTAAAATAAACAATATTATTTGTTATGACAATTTTCGCGCGTTTCTATAAACTGCGCATGCGCGGCTCTACTGTTTCCCGCGCATGTGCGGATACAGAGTAGTGCACATTTTTTGGTTAGGAACAGCTTTTCTAGTACGCTGTACATATAACTCTATATCTGAAATGGATTTACTCATGTTGGTAATTTAAAACTTGCCTCTGAAATATCACAGCATTTTTTTAATAACAAGCATTTTATAAGCCTTTTGTTCTTGATTTATTAGACCTTTTCATTATAAAATAAAAATACATGTAAGCAGGTGGTATCAACCCAGTCAAACATGGGCAAACTACGAGCCATAACAACTTTTCTTTTATAGTTGTTGTATAATTTGTATTCCAAGAAAAACGATTGATCTTGAATCTGACCTTAAAACACACTAACACTGAGTGTGTCATAATCCTTGGCCGCGGTAAAACAGTAACGTCTATTTGTGGAGCGCGTATTCCGCGGCGAGTTGTATTTCAAGCGATATTAATTTAAATTCTCAAAACTAATAACTTCTTTCTGCGTCATCATCATCATTGTTACAGCCAATCATAATCTACTGTTAAACATGGGCTTCCTACATAGATTGCTTCATAAGGATATTTGCCACAGGTGCCACGCTTGCCAGGCGGGTTATCAACCGCAGTTTTTTATTATATTTAGTTATTTATCAGAAAGTTGATGCCGCTCATGTCATCTTTCATTTTTCTTTTTTCGCCTTTTGTGATAACCTCGGTATTAACATCAATGGCGAGTACATCACTCACCTTCGATTTGCCGACGATATAGTCCTTATGGCAGAATCGCTGGAGGACTTAAGCATTATGCTCAATGACCTCAATAGTGCCTCTGGACGGATAGATAAACATGGACAAAACAAAGATCATGTTTAATGTCCATGTCACACCTATGCCGGTAGTTGTTGGGAGTACTAAGCTCGAAGTTGTTGACGCGTGCGTTTACCTGGGACAAATAGTCCGACTAGGTAAGTCCAACTCCGACGGAGAGGTCAATCGATGGATTCAACTCGCCTGAGCAGCGTTCGGGAAATTACGACGCATCTTCTCGTCAGGTATACCTCAAAACCTGAAAACTAAGTTGTACAACTAGTGCGTGTTGCCAGTGATGATCTACGGAACCGAGACGTGGTCCTTCACTGCTTGACGTATGAGGACGCTCAAAGTCGCTCAGCGAGCTATGGAGAGGGCTATGCTCGGAATTTTTCTGCGTGATAAACTTAGAGATGATATCTAAGGTTATCTGCAGTAGAACCAGAGTGACCGACATAGCCCAACGGATTAGTAAGCTGAAGTGGCAATGGGCCGGCCAAATAGCTCGAAGAACCGACAACCGTTGGGGAAAAAAGCTTTTCGAGTGGCAACCTCATACCGGTAGGCAAAGTGTAGGGCGACCCCCCACTAGATGGAGTGATGACCTGGTAAGACATGCAGGAAGTCGATGGATGCAGGTGGCTCAGGACCATGCTTTGTGGCGTACCTTGGGGAGGCCTATGTTCAGCAGTGGACATGTGAAGGGCTATAATGATGATCACCTCGAATTGACGCGTGAAAGTGGACTCTCTTAGAGTGTCATTACACTTCATCATCATCATCATCATCAGTCTGCACCAGTCCACTGCTGTACATAGGCCTCTTAGGCGTGCCAATTAGCTAACACGCATCCATTTCTTACCACAACACTTATGTTGCGTTATTTATAATGAGAGATTTCATTATCATCGCTGATTCGAATCACTGTGTGGTCTATAGAGCACTTTATATAGAGCACTTGGCTATAACGACGTGACGACTGGATTAGAAAGTCAGTCAGAGGCAGTATTTGTTTCAAATCCAAACCAAACTGTATTTTCCAGACTTATTGCTTCCGGTGTCACTATCCAAGCCTACATCCTACCTTATAACAGAATCATTCAATCGAGCATTGTTAGTTTAGGACACAAGCGCCTTCGTTTTACAGGGGCACTTGAAGCACTATAACGTCTACATTGTCTGCTGCGTATTTTTTTTAAAGGATAGGGTGACAATCGAGCAGACAGTCCACCTGATGGTAAGTGGTTGCTGTGGCCCATAGATACTACAGCTATCCTATATAACGATTCAAAATGCAGATGCGTTGTCACCTGTGAGGACTAAGATGTATTACCTCTGAAAAGGAACTCAGGTTGGACGTCCTCTCAATCCGGCCGCGAAGGACCAATTGAAAAGGACCAGGTCGGATTTCTTCTTAATCCCGTCGCGAAGGACCAATTGAAAAGGACCTAGCGGATCGGGTACTAAGAAACAGGAATCGAGGCTTCTCTCGATCCGGCCTCCTATCACGCCTACGTTGGGTTCGGGAACAACGTATGTGATCTCCGCAACGGAGTAACACACTAGGGCGATAACCTCTTCCTTTTCAGCAAGTAGGTTCAGACGGGGATTACGGGTCTTCCGAAGTCGTCCCGGTCCCGACGCCTTAATTCTTCGATGTGGACTGTATAACTTAAAGGATCTTGGGAATGAAACAGCAATTATCTTCAAACCGTTCCGTGAGAGAGTAATCACTTTTCCCTATACTGCTGGTTTTTCACTTTTCTTGAACTTTTTCCCGGATTTTCTTATTTATTTCCGAACTATTTCCGAACGATTCCCGAACTTTTTCCCCGAACGAATTGCAATAAAACCCGTTCACTAAGCTACCCCAGAGCTATACGCGAAAGTGAGCCGCGCCATCTGCGCGCTTGCGCAACTTAATTACATGAATTTGTACTATTACTCTCTCACGTTTCACTCAATATCTTTATTTATTCAAATCATATACAAATACAATTTATCAATATAGGTAGTACAAAACAATATCTACACCATGATATACATCATATCTTCATATCATAAAAACCTTTTATTTATTAAACGAAAACTGCCTATTTTACTCACAAGTTCGAAATCGAAATTTCTTAAATATTTAACACAGAAAGTTAAAACAATGTTTCTCACTTGAATTTATACATAAGCTAACCAATACAATAGTTTAATTTACATTTTTTCTATTTATTTCACTATTTAAAACACTTTTAAATTTCTTATACAAAACTATCATTATTTCACTTATACACAGGAATTTTCACATGAAAATAACACAGAATTTACCTTTTTAGCACGTACAATTAACCTGAAATATTTTACAAGTAATTTTTACATAAATCACTGAATTACAAACATTTTAAATTTTTACATATTCGGCCTCCTAAGGGCGTGGCCAGCGTGCTTCCGTGTACTCACGCTATGTGAACAACTAACTTTGCACGGCTCTCGGCTATCAGAAAAAATTAAATTATGAAATACACCAATTTTGACCATATTAGGCAAATTAAATGCTTTTATACAATTTTCGAACTAATCTTTAATCAGATAACAATATAAATGAATGTTCTCATTAATCAATCATAACAAATAGGCATTTGTTTTCGTACAAAACGTATCAAACTTATACAAAACAACATTTATGCAATTAATATCCATTAATTCTGCCTATGCACAGAGTGATTATCTCGACCGGGGAACAAATCCGATCTTTAACTTCACTTTAATATTCTTATGAATTTACATCATTTGAAAGATGATTTCAACCGGGGAACAAATCCGGTAACATAATTTATATCTTAAATTCCTTACGAATTTATTAAGCGATATTACTTAGG